CTTTGGAAGTTCTTCTGCATGTAGAATTAATCTGATATGTCTCCACTGCACCACTAAGCACACAGTTTTAGTAATGCTGGGAAGCAGTTTCCACTGGAACTTATTTCAGCTTCTGTAGAACCAGGTCTGCATACTTTTTTCCTTTCTTTTCCCAGCATGCTTATGTTCCCTTTATACTTAAGAGTTACGTGAGATACCTTGTTATCTTTCCCAAGACAAGAAAACACATTTTAATGAACTGTTCTTCTCTCCCCCCTAGAATCCCATCATCTGAACAAATGCTATTAATTACATTTATCCAATAGAGATTCAGCTGAAATTTTCAGCCAAACTTTCAGCCAGAAGGTTTGGAAGGGATACAATAAGCTACTGTAAGCAAATGGGCTTCTCATTTCTCTAGTGTTTGGCCATTCCCTACTTAAGAAACAGTGCAGTTCTGTTTAAAAGTGCAATAACTTAATGCTGTTGACTTCAGTCTCTACATACGTCACTTACCAGAAGAGAAATACACACCTGTAATGGGATTATGGGCCTAGTCTATGCATCGTGCATACCACCTCCATCTTTAGGGTACAGGTGGTAGGCAGCAGAGGGGCTTTTATTGTTAAAGCTTAAACCTGTCTCTTACATATAATAAATAAATACTTTTCAAAGCTTAAATGTATAGTCTGGCTGAAAGTTTATGCTAACTTTCCTTGTGAAAGCTTCAACTTAAATATTAGAGCTTATTCTGAAAACCTCTGATCAGAGGTTTTTATTTGTTTCATCATTTTAAAAAATGATCTATAGGGGGAAAAATAATGCTTTGCCTGCGTGTTGTTCATCCCATTGACAGCTACCAGCTTGAATCTGAAGGCAGGAAGGAGCAGAAGCAAACCAACAAAACCTTCTACCAAGACCAAATACATGAAGTTTCAGTTTCAAAAATAATAAATATAAGTAAAAAAAGGAACTAAAGCAAAAATTACTTTGATACCTGGTAGGAATTTGCTGGATGTACTTGAAGAAATCCACTGTCTTTAATTCTTTGTGTTTCCTTTGGCTACTCATATGTTAAACCACTCTGAAAAGGAGGACTAAAGGACTTAAGTATATATAGTTACAGTGACAACATTCTGAGCTTTAGCACTTTTAAATAAAGGGAATAAGAAGGTTTTATACTACCACAGAATAGGCATATAAACTTTAAAAAAATCCTTTCAGTGTTTAAAAGTTTTTGAAACCTTACATTCATTTAAATATGTTTCTACTCATTGATACCCAGGCCTGCATCAATCTAAAGTTTTGTCTTAAGAAAACTGGATTACTTCACTATGACATGTGTAACTAAATAAGACACTGATTAAGAACTGAGAACTTAACACAGATTGCAGGACAAGGTAGATATTTCTGCATATAATATTCTTTATTAAACAAAGAACAATTGTCCACAATTTATCATCACTTTAGTATCACTCTCTGTTCCACGTCTTTCATGTTGTTGATGTGGTCCTACCTTGCCCTTTTCTAAGATCATAAGCCTCTAAGAACAGGAAATTCCCAACTGTGAGAATTATTTCACAGTTGAAACTTTATAAAACTCACTGTTTTATAAATGGGTTTCTGCCTTTAAAATCACATTTCCTGGAATGAGGAACACATGCAGCATAAAAGTGTTTTAAACCAGGAGGAAAAAAAAAGTCATTATAAAGATTGTATCAATGGCATTATGGTTGATGATACTAGACAAACAAGAGGATAAGATAAGATTAATATTACCTTTTGTGTTTACTACTATTACTACTACAAGTTACAGGACATCATATTCTTTGGCAAACAATGTATCAAATGTCATGCAATTTCCTTTGCTTCTTTTTGGAAGATGGGTAATAATATTGATTTTAAAATGCCACAGTGTTACTTATCCCTTCATGGCAGCTAGTCAACTTCAGACAAGGACCAGCTCTATAAAACACTTGCTGGCATTGACCTTGTATGCAACGACAGGCCAGGACCCACATCTAGAGCAATACAGTACTTTTGTTGTTAGCACCACTATTGCTTCTATAAACCTTCATTAGCTTCCAGGTAGAGGCAATCTCAGTTCCCCTAATGCTTCCAAATAACAGCAATAATAATTCTGTAGTAATGGCAGACTAAACAAACTACAGAGAAGAGTCTTTTGTATGTGATGTTGACTGAACTGTAATGGAAAACTGCTTGCTTGGAAAAAGGCAGATGCTTAATGTCCAGTGCTAAACTCCTCAAGGGACAAGCAGTCAAGGAGGAAGGGAAGTATACGTTTGACCTTGGGTTTGATACGAGATATATAAATCATCACGCTGCTGCTGCTCAGAAGCCTGTTTCAGTTTGTCATCATGGCCTCCCCTTCTCAAGTTCGCTGAGATGAAGAGTTGTCTCGTGCTGACCTTGCTTTTTATGCAGGCACGTTTCATTAAAGCAGATTAGGCTGTGCCCTCAAAATAACATGGTCAGAGGTAAAAAAATGTCAAGGCCTCTCTGAGAATCTAGATAATAAATACAGGTCCCTTTCTGTAAACATGACCTGGAACCCTGTGGGTTCCCTGTGGATCACCCTTCACAGTATTTGGGGAAAGAAGGATGGGGAGACTACAAGAAAGTACCCTGTGGGCTGTCGCACACCTGGCCTGCATGTTAAGAGGACAGTTTTGTGGATCACCCTTCACAGTATTTGTGGAAAGAAGGATGGGGAGACTACAAGAATTTTTTAGAGCCCATTTGAAAAATGAATTTGTCATTTGCAGAGTCTCTTGTCAACCTGTCCATAGCTTTAGGCTGTTTAATTTATTATCTATGTGCTACATCCCTAAAAGACCATCACCTTTCTGATTATATGCCTGCTGAATAAAATAGTAGAAGTATTAAACTGTTATGTGGAGTCCTTTGCCTTTAGCATGTGTACCAAGGAGAACATCCTTACAGATCCTAAGAAGCAGAGAACGGTGTCAGAACTGCTTGCTAGTTCTGGAGGAAATATAACTGAGAGATTAATTTGAATTTGAGTGAAGAATTTAATCAGTTTAGAGCATATTTGACCACTGTTGCTCTTCATTTTGACCTGTAGTTAATGTTTGTTAAAGTTTTTGCTTTCAAGTGAGCTGTTAACTTAAAGAACTGTCTATGGGTCTGTATAATCTCATTTCTATCTAAACTAAGATAAAAGCAAAGTAGAAAATAATAAAGGATTAGTTGGTCAGAGGCGTATAAGCACTGGACATACACTTTGATTTGACTCTCACTGAGTGGCTGGGCCCTTTCTGTTCACTTTGAATATATTTCTTATTTGTTGGATTTGTTACTGTAAGAATAAAAATCTTGTCATCAGTTTCTCATGGTCCCATCACAGGGGTCTGTGGCCTCAGCTCTACAATTCCTCTAGTGTCAGTGATATTAGTGGTACTTTCCAGGAGCTAACTTTTGGATTGGTCTCTCTCTAACAGATTAGAGATGCTGCTCTCCCTTTCTATCTCCAAAGACTGCCTAGTCCCATGCAACAGAATTGATCAACTAAAAAAATCTTCAGAATCAATTCTGAAGTGTCATTCTGAGTGTCATCTGCGAAAGTGAACAGAGTAAGCGTTCTGTTCTTGCAGACCATGGTCAGGGAAAGGTGCATGTGAGATCTAAACGCGGAACATCTGGTAGAATTAAACCTTCTGTTGTGCTCTAGGACTGAATGTGTTTTCTTCGCTGGATTATTAGGCAGTTTTAATGAGTAAAATTGCTTATTTGTTTTTCTTACTGTTAGAAAAGACAAACAAGTGCTGTTGTCCAGGAAACCTAACACTTTATGCAACACTGCGATACTTACTTTCACAGTTATTTTTAAGATCTAATAGCTTATTAGGAGAACCGAGGAAATAGAGATTACTGTATTGCCGCAACGCTTAGCAAATTCTGTTAAAAATGTGTTGTGCATGGGGCCACTGCAAGTGAAAAGGCTGCTGAAAATTCTTGTGGTGCCTTTTTCATGCATGCAGTTGTGGAGCATTCCCAGATTGATGCAATAAATAGGGTTTTACTTCAATGGCTATAGAAAGTTTAAGGAGCTTAAAACTATTCCCATGAAATATTTTTGTTATATGGTGTACTTTCAGAACATTCTAGTTAAGAAAAAGCCATTGCATTCTAACTAGAATATTACCATGAACATGTGTTTTATTATTGCAAATCAAAATAGAGCTACACAAACTAATATGATTTTCTTTATGAACCACAGAAACTACCTAGCATCCTTTACCTGCTATATTGTATTTCCCTTCTGCAAGTTTTCCTGCAGCTGACCTCAATAGACCTCTCTGGTCTCTTCCTTTTTGTTTGCGTTTTGTAGAAGTTGCAGGTCCTCAAGCAAACACAGCTCTGAAGAACAAAATCAGAAAAAAGAATGGTGAAAGCTTGTCACTTTGCTAATACTTTTCTGATATAAAAATCCATAGAGCTAATGAAATGAGGAAAACTCAAGAAATTAAAAATCTGAAATAAGCAGTTCTAAATAGCATTATGAGGCATACTGAATAGTTCCATTTATCCATAATGTAAAACACAGACACTTAGCATTCTGAACTGACCTTCTAGTAACTTCCCACATTAAATCATGCTCAATGGGCTAGTACATAGTGTTGAAATACTGCAGGTGAGCAAACCATCTGTTTAAGTTTAAAGTTCCTCGTTACATCTTTTACTAGTTTTGGATTTGTTTTCTATTGAGAGTCGTCTTCTAGAGCATTGAGGTTGTATTTGAGATGAAATTCTGAAGTCCAGTTTGTACCTTCACTACAGTAAAGGCCACGTTTTCAACTGGGGCTTCTGCACAACTGCTCTGTCCATGTCTCAGTTTTACTTCTTACTGACTTAACCTGAGATCCTCACTCCTGATCCTATACCTAAATCATTTAAGAGTAGCTGATACTGAACCATGCCAACATGGTGCCAACAGTCAGTCTAAATTGCCTATTTCTTTAGTTTCAGAATGGCTGCGGTTATTGCCTTTCCTGGGTGTGCTGGCTTTGCTTGGTTATCTTGCTGTTCGTCCCTTCTTCCCCAAGAAGAAACAGCAAAAGGATAGCTTGATTAACCTCAAGATCCAGAAGGAAAATCCTAAAGTAGTGAATGAAATAAACATTGAAGATCTGTGCCTCACAAAAGCTTACTGCAGGTGTTGGCGTTCTAAGACGGTAAGTTACTACTTTGTACTATGTTGGGATTAGACTGAACTTGCATATTTTTCAGTTGGATCACTGCGAATTGGAACACCTTACTTTGCTCTGGAGGTGCAATGTGTTTCTGCTTTGAGAGTTGAACAGTTCTTCCCTTTCTCCACTCTGTTAGAATGAAAAAGTTTAGAATGGAAGGAACGTTTAGAAAATTATCCATATTGGAATGAAAGTAATGCTGAACTTGCATTGAGGATGGTGAGAATATCCTTGTCTGATCCAGAGCAGTGCACAGATAAGTCCCCCTTGACTTTGCATATTGCATAGCTGCTAGCTCAACTAGCTCTTAAGTATTTTTCCTCTACCTCCAGTATTCTGTGAATTCTTTCATGGATGTCTTGACTATGAGTCCAAGAACATCTGTTTTAGGACCTCACAAACTTTGTTACCATGGTAGCAAGGTGTTTTTTCTTGGCAGCATGTGCCAGGTGGTAGCAAGGTGGTGTTTTTTCTTGGCAGCATGTGCCAGGTGCTTTATAGAAGGCAGAGATTTAGATGGAAAGGGACATAGGAGAAAGAACAATAAACTCTATCAAAATATTCTTTGCATAAGAGGAACTATTAAGGGAGAACAAACAAACGACGTAAGTGCTGCTCAGAGATTATACTAATTCCTCATGTATGTTTTCTTCCAGTTCCCTGTCTGTGATGGCTCTCACAACAAGCACAATGAATTAACAGGAGATAATGTAGGTCCGCTAATACTAAAGAAGAAAGAAGTATAGCAGATACCTAATTATTAGATTATGGCTGATTAATCTTTTATACACTTGTAGTTGCAGGAGACTAAATTTTATTATGTGATTAGATTTAGTGTAATGATTGCTGTAGATTTCTTTTTGGGGTAAATTCCATTTAGACAGTGCTAAATTTCACTGTTTTGATACTTTATTCTGAAAAGAATTATGTCTGCTGTGTAAAACTAAAGTAACTATCTCTGTAAATAAGTTGTTGATTTCAACAATAAAATGACTTGCTACAATTAAGCCTTTTCTGTATGAAGATGCAGTTATAAAATGTTACTATTGCTAAGTGACAAACCTATTCCTTTCTATTGATTTTGTTCCAGTAGGAAGCCACTTTGTATTCTGGTTTTCAGGAACAATTCAAAGTGTGGGATAATGTTACAGTTCCAGGCTGTGTAAGCTCTATTACTGCACAGGTCAGTCCCCAACACTGTCCCTCTGTTTCAAGCCCCTGTGTTGATTGTTAGTGTTAGATTTGCAGACTCAGATTTGCTCCTTACGCTTCCCTTCCACTGCAGCCGTGGCTTGTAGTAGAGACTTTTGTGGAAGGAACTGTTTAAGTGACAGAACCAGAAGAGTGGAGGTGAGCTGGAGTCATGGCTTGTTACTGGTTCACAGTGAGTTCAGACAAAGCAGAGCTTTGCTATATTACAGCTGAATATAAAGTGTGGGTAAATAATTGTTACCTATCTTATAGCTAGAGTTTTAACTACTTCAAGTGCTTTATTATTCAGTGAAGTACTACTAGTTTAAAAATTAGTAGTTTCATGTATACTACAATTTTAGACAGTGGTACTAAGGAAGGGCTGAGCTGTTCTTTAGTTCAAACGATGTGGCGTGTGGTAGCTGGAAAGCCCCAGAGCAGTCTGCGCTGCCCTTCTCCAGAGCTTATTAATCCAGTTGTGCAACAGAAAACAAGGCAGTAAGCAGTTCTCACATTCTGCCTTTTACAGCACTGGATCTACCAACAGCTATGCCAGTATGTGTAACTGTTTATAGGTACCTAACAGTCTGGTCTTGCAGCAAAAGAGGGTAGATGAGAATACAAGTATGTATGTTATATGCAAGTATTTCATTGTACCATGGTACAATCTTTGTTTTAATGTTTTGTGTTGGCCTTATCCTCATGAGAGCACACCATAGAATCACAGAATGCTTAAGGTTGGAAGGGATCTCTAGAGGTCATCTAGTCCAACCCCCTGCACATGCAGGGTCACCTAGAGCACGTGGCTGAACACTATCTTATTAGAACACTTAGAGAAAAGTCCATAATGTTACTAGATATCCTATACTGTATTCAGTTACTACTTACATAGTGTTTGCTATAATGCACCTCTATAAACAGTGCTCAGTGAGCCCATCTTTAAAGCAAGTTTTATAATTGTAATCTCTAACAGCATTGAGTCCAAGCCCAGATCCTTGGCTGTGCTAGAAGAAATGTACAAGCCTGTGTTTAGACAGTGTTTTCTAGCTCTGCAATCCCCAGCCTCCTGCAAGAGGCTGTTAATATATACAAGCCTGTATGCGTTTCCAACTTTTATCAGAACATTTGCATTCAGATTTCCTCCCACGCTTACAAGCAAATTGAATCAATCTTCTGTATTGAAGTTCTTTGCTGTACTTGGACAACTTTGCTACAGCAGCACAATAAAATTGATTTTGTTCCCCCTCCCCTCCTCCCCAAGCTCCTCTAAGAGGAAAGTGACAGATTTACTTTTTCATTCCATCTCTGACATGGCTTGATTATATAACTATTTTTCTTTCTATTACTGTTACAGGAGAGTGCTGCTAAACCATCTACAAAGGTGGTTATGAAACAAACAAGTAGTTTGGGGGTGGTTTTTGCCTATAGACAAGTGGAACATTTATACAGTCACTACCTGCAATAGCAGTACTCAGTCACAGTTCCTTTTAGAAAGGACATTCCAGTCATTTGCATAAAATAATAAATTAAAATCACAGGAAAGCTAATGAATATTTCCTTGCATTTCAAAGTCTATGAAGGTAATATGTGCTCTCCTGGCTCTAATAACAAGTCAGAGACTCCCATCTTACCTAACATAGGCCTGTTTCAGCACCCTTTTGGCTGCAGAAAAGCTCCCTATGTGTCTGGTTTATACATGCTTTATGGTTTATTTTAATATCCTTGGCAGAACAAATCATTTAATCTTCTGCAAATGCCACCTGCAACTGTGCTATAAAACCAAAGTAAAACAAAAGCTTAACAAGGCTGGTTGTAATACCCTCACTGCACAAAACACAAACCAGGACCGCTGCTGCTTTTGGTTATCAGATTTCTCTTCCAGCCTACCTGCCAGCTGAATACTGGTGCACAGTACGCTGATGTCACAGCAGTTCTGTGGAGGGTAGCAAAGTGTGCTCCAGGATGAAGGAGAAAATGCCACCACCAGCTACAGGAGTCACTCCTGTCCTTCTGCTTCCTCCGTCTTTGGAAGTTAGGCCTCTGTACCAATAGCTTTTGCCAAGTTAATGAAACTTGCTCAGGCAATGACTTTGCAGCACCGCACCAGATTGGTTTGGCTGATCAGTGCTGCAGGCAGCTTGGATTCTTCATCTGCCAGCCACACATGGGACATTTCACTATTCAGTTGAACACTGTGCTGAAGGGAAGAAAACAAGCATGCTGCCAACCCCATCAGCCACTTTGTGCTTTGAATGTGCATCTGAAATTCTCTTATTTTGATTACGTAACAAGTAATCAGTGAAATTTTGATCCCATCTTAAGACTCCATCTCACCCAAAACATTACTAAGCGGTTTGCATTACTTTAGTTCTTACCCATCACCACCATCTTAAGGAATGAGCCATGGAGCCCTCTCTCTCACCGATAAGAATGGATTTAGCTAGTTATTCACCAAAATCTAACTTGGCACTGCATGACTTTTCCACTCTAATTTGGAAGCTCTACACAAAGGGATGAATTTGTCCATAGCTCTAATAAGGATCAAGAGAAAAGCAGTGGAGCAGATCTTCAGTCTCACTGCAAAGTCAGGGAAGGCAAGACTTTGCATGACATAAGGCACCTTTTTATTCTACTAGAACAGTAGGGGTTGCTTTTGTTAATTATGAATTTGAACAGTGGTTGTACTGGACTTATAAACTTGTAAAAGAGAAAGGTGTTAAGAATTTGCCTCAAATATTAAATGGATTTGAACTAGTTCAAGTAAACTAAGAACTACATCATTCACTGCGTCATAGCCACATTATCCCATGTGCTTCGCAATTACCTTTGGATTTCAGTGCTCAGTTTGGCTGAAAGAGAGAGAAAACAGTGATTATGCATGTTTACATTATCACTGCATCCCCTGGCCTGTGCGAATTCTTGTTCCAGATGGCCGATTTCCGTCTTTTTCCATATGCTGCCTGCTGTAAGTGCCACCACATGCTGCCAGGAACACGCGGTGCTGCAGAGCCTTCTGCTGTGGTGGCTCCCGTGAACCACGGGGGGCTCCTGTGCCCAAAGCGCACGGGGCTCCTGCCTCGCAGCAGGACTCCTGCTGTTACACTTCACTGCACCTTGCGCTCTCATTTTATTTGCTGCAAATGAGGGACTCTAAAGAGGCATAGAGATTTTATGGGCTTAAATTTATGTGTTATTCATAAATGAACAAATGGCAGTTTGCTAAAAGGAAAGTCTGGTCTTAGTTGTTATGACTCCATCATCTCCAACTCAGACCAAAAAGTGAGTCTCTTTAAAAATTCAGAGTCACAATACTTATTTTTTTTTAAAAAGTTAATAGGTTCTCTTAACACCAATACCATTTTACTTTTTAGGGCAAGAAGCAAGTGGTTTGTTCCCCACTGGAAGGCAAAGGAGGGAAGCACTATAAAGCAATAATGCTTTTTGTTTTGTAGGACTATGTCATTAGCTTCAAGTTGATGTTCAGGAGTTAATTCAGGTTAGGGTTGGGGTCTGGGAAGAAGCACCCACATATGGCAGAGAGAAGGAAAACTGATTGATAGAGTTTAGGATAGAAAGCAACATGCTTTTGGTAGATCTATTCGAACATTCAGAATGGTGGGAGTGAATCTAATGAATAAATCGGGAGAGTGAGACAGGCAAGAGAATGCAGTAAATACAATTTATGAGATGTTTCTATGATAGTGAGCAAGTGTTCATGAGATCCTCATTAACAAGGGCTGGTTCTGCAAGGAGACTGTGTTCCAAGCTAAAGGGCTACACTCCTTATCCTTCACAGTTCTGCTGAACAGACTCCAGCTTTGGCAGAGTGATCCTTCCCTGCAGGAAGATTCTGCTCTCTGAAACATTTTTAAAAATTAATTAAATAAATAAATAAACCCCCCACACATACAGCTTCAACTACTATTTGCCTCCATGTGAAATGTAATGTTTTACCAACAGCCAAAGATGAACTGAACATCATATTCCCATATCTATTAGGTAATGACTCCACCACTGCTTCCATTTCCAGATACATGAAGTTCCTATTAAAACAGCCCCTACTTAAGTAACTGAATGTCTCCATTAGCTCTTCAAAGGGCAGGAACATGCCCAGAAGTCGGTGGTTGATGTAGCAACCATCCAGTGCAGCACAGCAACCTTTAACCATCCTGCACAGTTTGAAAATGCCTTCCCTTCTGGTCAGGGGACAAGGATAGACTGAGCTACATAAGGATTGTATATTCCCTACAGAAGAAGAGGGAAGAGCAACATATATGGTAAAGAAATTTGGTCAAAATTAAATAGCTGTACTTCACAAATGCCAGCAAAAAAAAAATACCACAGAACTTCCTGGTACTTTCAAAGTCACTGTACTGGAGTTTCAGGCTTTTCCAGGAAGATTTCTTTTTGTTTGGAAAGAAAAGCATATACAAAATACAGACACACACACACAGCAGTATAATTCTTCCATATACACATGTATACTCATACACTCTACCAATAATAGTTTCAGAAATGCCTGCCTAATTCAGAAGCTATGTTTCCTGAGCCTTTGAACTTGTCATCTGATGGCCCAGTTCCAACCACCAGAAGTTAATCATGTTGGTTTTAATTTTTTTTTCTGCTTAAATTCCATCTCCCTGCACCACTCCATTACTGAACAATTTAGATCCTCTTCCTGGCCTCACACCCACACATTCCAAATAACCGTTGCCTGCTAACTTCTCCAGTGACTCATTGCCTGGCCAGCCTAGTCACTGTATGTTTAGCTCATTCATCTGTTAAGGCACCATCAACAGTTAAAAATATTTTATAAAAACTGTTTAAAAATATGTTTCTAAACTGTTTTCAAAATAGCAGATACAACTGATAAGTGGTTTTGGTTTCCTCCAAAAAGACTGAAAATGCATGGTGTTTACTCAATAAATGTAGCAGGGGCTTAAGGACTGTATTCCTATATGCATCTTTCTTAAGAATGTTCACACGTCTCTGGCTCTTCTCCAGCCTCAACACATTCCTCATCTTCCTTCTTATTTGGTTGAGTCTTCTGCAAAAGTCTGGGTCCTGCCAAGCCAATAGCCAGGGCTCCAATCGGAGCTGTGATCAGGATAGCCAGGAAAGCTACCGTCAGTACATCTATTCCATACTTTTCCAGTTGCTCATCCTGATGCCTTCTTGCAGTATCCAGGGCAAGGGAGCCTATTGCAGCCTGAAGAAAAGAAAACATTGCTCAGATGCAGCAAGTAACCACTAACATTGAGAGGGGAAAAAGTTTTATCATTCAATTCATACTTAGTACTTGGTTTTAATTCATTCATGTGCTTTGCTTCTAGGCAGGATGTAGAAAGGTAAGGATTATGTTACATCTCTGGTAATGATTTTCACTTGACCACACTCTGAAGTTCCTAAACTAATGAGTTAGTAGCCCCCTCTGAAAACCACTTCTGAGGTGTCACATTATCCCTCTTCTGGAAAAGGGATAATTAACAAAATGGACTTGTGTATCTCATATTGCAGCTGTGAAAATGCTGTACCTTGAGAATGGGTCCTGACAGTAGTCAGCTAGTAGCAGTTTCTGAAAGTTTAGTTTATAAAGCTTGCAATATTAAATATGCTGCTTTATTCAATTGTGTTTGCAAATAAGGCTTTGTCTCAGTAGCATGATTAAGTGACTCAAGATCAGCGATATAAAGGAAGAAGGACACAATCTGCCTGAGGCTTATCTAGCAATGAGACTGTAAGGCCACCTCTCCTTAAAATGGCCACAAACTAAAACCCCTTCTGAGCCTCTGCTGTGACCATCCCAGCAGACAACTCCTGCTACAAGATGAAAACCCCTAAAACCTGTGTGTAACAGCAAAATAATCTGCTAATACCAGCTATTCTACAATAAAATCTGTTTGTACAATTCATCGACATTGAAAAGAACATGACCTCAGATACATGCAAAATGCTCTTACACTGTACAGAGGAAGCCCCCCTTGAACTTCTACTTAAGTAGACTTAATGCTGAACTGTTTAGGATATGAATAATACAAATAATACACTCAGCTGTTAATGGCCTTCTCCTTCTCCCAGTTTACTTTGATGCTAACCAGGAAAAAGTTATCCCAAGGGCAGTAAATACAGCATGTAATGAAAGCAATGGCTTGGTTTACCTGGACAGTGGCTTTGGGCATCCATGCCAGCGAGACAAATACTTTCTCCTTGAAATTAAACCCGGCAAAACACACCATCAGGAATGTGACTAGGATTCGTACAATGAGGGCAATGCCTAATGTAGTAACACAGAGCCCTACAACAAAGACAAAAACTTGTCAGCATTACTACACAGAGGTGCCCGAGTGGAATAAGCTTCATAACACGCATTCAACATGCATCTTAAGCATAGACTGCAAGTTACTGAAGAGCTGGATAACTAGTGAATGATCTTACCCACAGTTTCAGGCCTGAGAGACATAACAGATACTTCTGCTCCAATTAAACCAAAGAGAAAAGGCTGAAAGACATTCCACGCAACTGCAACATTTTTTTCTACTGCCTTCTGCAACATGAAAACAGAAAAAAATAACTGTGAATTCATCACAACCTGGTCAAGTGTACACAACATCCAATTAATCACAGGATAAGGTGAAAACATATCATAAACACTGGTCAGACTCTCAGTTTATGATTAACTTTTACCTCAGGCTAAAAGGTTTAAGGTTAGATGTACACCTTGCAGAGGTCAGAGTACGTAAAATTCAGTAAATGAATATTTGTTCTTTCAAGAAAGGAGAGGGGTGGGGAAGAGAACACTGATGTATGAATAGTAACAAAGCAGTTTTCAAACTATTAAAAAGAAAAGAAAAAAAAAACTTAGCTGATTTTCCACAAAGCTGCTTGTTCCTCCATTTCTGTCTTAACAGGGTCAGATCTTCATAAGCTTCAGTAACAGCCTAACTCTGCTCCTGTTGCACTCAGATGGAGGCTTTGTTCCAAGTGAACAGGAGCCAAGTTAGGCTAAGGAAGTCTGAAATCCCACCTTAGTCAAGACTATTGAATTTTCAGTGGGAAGTGCTATGCAAGTACAAACTACTCTGTTTGAACTCCACACTCACTTTGTCAAGAGGCTTCATTTTTACACTTAATACCATTTTTTTCAATTAAGTGGATTCCACAATAGCAAATAGTGTCCAGGACTGAATGTGCAAAAGTGTGGGACTCTAACCATTTTCCTTATTTTCTTATTTCCCTATTATTTTAACCCTTTTATTTATTTATTTTTTAAAAACAAAACAAAAACATTTCACTCCACTTACTGCCCCTGTAATTGCTTTAGCATTGGGAATGGTGTTTCTTGCTTTCTGTGGACTACACTTGCTAAGCTGCTTCTGAAGAGGATTGGTACAGTACAGTGTACAAGACAGCCAATGTGCAGAGCCCTCCTGATCCAGGGAAACCAAAGCGGATGCTGCCAAAAACAGCAAACATGGACAGACCCAGAACAAAATATGATCTCTTCCATGCCAGAGATGCCTGCAACAAAGGAAACGAATGAAAAAAAGAAAGTTTAGAAACAAAGTAAAAAAAGTTACATGTCATTTTGACAAAGGATACCATAATAAAGAAATGAAAGCTTTCAAGTAAGATGAACTATTTGTTTGGGCTGAGGGCTTATAATTCCTGAAAACTAACATTCTTGAAGTGTAATATTTCTTCTCTTCTGCCCATCTGAAAACTCTGCGCACAAATGGTTTTTTGTATCCCAAGGAACACAATGTTCTATTCTCACGTCCCCAGTTCAGCTCTGTGATAACGGTATTAGAACAGTTTATCTGAGGAGGGGGGAATCCTTGCCACTAGATGTTTTTAAGTACAAGTTGAACAAATTTTTGTCAGAAATAGTCTGGGTTTATTTTATCTATTCTCTCAGCAGACAGTTATATCATATGAACTCCACAGTTCTGCTACACTGTTTTTATTTATCGTCAGGTAGGCTCCTATGCCACATTTTTGATATTTAGTAAGAAGAAAACTTGCTTTCACTGAAGGCATAAGATGCTTTGCAAACTGACCTCGGCAGCCCAGAACACATCTACTTTATTCTACAAGTTTATGTTCAGTTAGTCACCACTTTATATCAAATTAACCTATTACAAACTTCAATTTTATTGAAGGCAACACATTCTAATCACTTACTGATAATGTGTTTTAAGTAAGTTGACTTATCTGTTCTGCTCCTTTTTGCTCTTGTACCTACTGGAAACATCTTACAGAAGCAAATGAGAATCATATCCATCTTATTATTTATTGTGCAGAAGAGGAATCTGACTCCTTCCTACATGAGTGGATGTTTCCACTGCTTCAGTGGGACCAGGATGGTAAGCTGGGGTTCCAAACTCTCTCTCTCTTTCCATTGGGAAAGACTGTCAGATCATCAGTAGCAATGCAAACAAGTCATCTACCACAAAACATTTACAACAGTCAATTTATAATCTGGAAGCTATTAGTATATGTTTTGAGTGCTCTTTTCACCCCAAAACAGCATCATTCAAAGGTTGGAAATTAGTAATTTAAGAATAGCAATCTTTTATAGAGAAATGCATGCTATTCCTAAAAGAAAAATTTAAAAATTATTCTTAGTTTTCACCTGATCATGGCTTGGGAAGTACCGAAGAAACATTCCCAGAATCGCCCCAGCTGCAATGCCCACAGCTACCTCCAGCACTCCACGAAGCACGTTGTACAGAGTAGAACCTAATGGCAAAAGCACAGTGAGTTCAGAGACTAATACCTGGGACCCTCCAGCCACAAAAGCTGTTAGACTTGTGAGGGTGTTTAAATTATGTGCGAGTAAAGGGTTTCAGGAGGGAATCTACAGGTCTGGAAGAACCTGATGGTGCATTTTTCTCTTTATTAGCTTCATGTCAAAAAAGTGCATCACGGAAAGGAAGGGCCACTGCCAGAGCACATTCAGGCCTAGGGAAGACTGAAAGCACTTACATTGGGCCTGCAGGGACCAGACCCAGCAGCCCACGGAGCCGGAGGGGGAGAGGGGGGCGGGGAATCTCCCAGAGTTGTGTGACCCACAACTTTGAGAATAAGGTTACACCAATACTTTTACATGGAGATATTAACAAATAAATTATTCAGCCATAACAGAACAAGCATTCCTCAAAATATGAGAGTTTGTTCTGGCCTTCCCCAGCCACAGAGTAACAAGCATACCAGAAGAAAAAGCTATCCCAAGACAGGTGTTGAACCCAGTAATGGCCAGGATGTCATCAATGCTGCCAGCAGCCATCAGCAGGGTTGGGACACCCTTCTCCACCCCATAACCCCCTGCTTGTAATATCAACATTGAGGGCACCACCACAGCAGGGGAAACAGCACCTAGAACAAAACTGAAGACACATGGTTTCACTCTCTCTTTAAAAGAACAAACGGGGAGAAGAAAAAAAAAAAAAAGAGGAAAGCCCTCAAAACTTTCTGACCTCATTCCTTTTAAAGCGTAAGTACACAGACCTTTGAGAGATTTTCTTACCTTTCCCTGTTAATTACAAGGACGTATCTATGCAGATTTATAACCAGCTTTTACTTCCTGCCAGCTCAATAGTATTGAAAAAAAGCTCCATGAGTACACTGCCAGCAGGCGTGTTCCTTGATATATCCCATGATTTTCCATTTAGGAACCTAACCTCATGGGTATGACTTGGCACCTGGGTTCCCTCTCATGAAAAATCAGCGTGTGGCAGAGAAGAATGTCATCCTTCCTCTTCCGAGATATGGGTCTAGACCAAGTCTACAGTTTAGACAGAACCTAGATGAAAAAGGTTGCCTCTCTAAGATTATTATTGCAGTATTTAACAATGCCATATCCTTACTTTTCAGTGACAGGGAGACTATGCTACAGGCATTTCTTCAAGTGGATATTTTGAATTCCAGCACAAAGATCCTCCTGTATGTGCTACTCGGTCCCTAAAATCTCTTCGTGTTATGGTTAAATACCCAGGGATTGCACCACCCTTTTCCTTAAGCACCCAGATCACAAATAAAGAGTAATGATGCAAGTACTCCTCCATGGCCTGGAAACATGACCTTTAAATTAGCCACAGAGACAGACAGGGATGGTAAGCAAACAACCACAGGGGCTAGGCACATTTTCCATTGTATTTCACTACAGGACAGTTACTATTAACCAGCATTAAACCGAGGTCTCTTCTTGAGAGGAAAGGAAAACAGTGATCACTTAGGTGTCACAGGAAAACAGTAACCT